AGGCTGCTTCCCAAAGGCACTCAGCGGCTGAGGCATCTCCCATCAGTTTCCATTTCTGCACGTCCCCTTGTTCTGTGGCTGCTGCTTCCTTGCCACTGTTTATCACCATCTGTGCTACACCTACCGTTGACTCCTCCCTTTCCTTTGGGCCTTCACCAGAACTGTCTTTGATATCCATAAACCCAATCATCTCTTCAAGGCAGTTTAGGATTTTACTGTTAAGCACCTTGTAGAAAGAATGTAGACAGCATGAAAACAGCGGCATCCGACCTCTACTAACTCCAGAAAGAGGAACTGGCCCATCAACAGCATCCATAACACAAACCCAGCTCCCACTTGTTTAGACAGCCTCTCCACACTTCCACACCTCTTTCTATGGTTTCCAGCACCAATCCTACTGCCCTATTGGGCCCAAAACCCATTGCAATAGCTACACAGACTACGTAGAACCATGTTTACAGTTATGGGGTTTATTAGAGAAGTTAACAGGTTACATTCAGGCTGATTTTAAAGATAAAAATCTCTCAGTCAGGACAGCTTCTGAAGTGTGCCCACAGGCCCGTCAGCTGTCTGGCGGGCGGCTTTGTGGCTTTAAGCCAGTGTCACAAAGTTCCCTCAGTCCTGCCAGAGGTAGCGTCTTCCCTCAGTCCTCCAGCCAGTTGGGGTGAAGGCCTTTGACTCTTTCTCACTTCAGATCCCCAGTTCTCTCCTGCTGCCGCCCCTGTAGCCCCTAGTCTGAATGACGCAGGACTCTTTGGCCCCCAAGGACATGCACTACTGCTTCTTCCTTGTTAGTGTTGAGACTCCCAAATTTGACCATTGAATCTACTCAATTTAATGATGAGAAGCGAGTTCCCTTGTGGAGAGACTAACACTCTCTGTTTGTATGATTCCATCCACCCACGTGGCAAAGGCAACGTTAATGACTCAGAAACCATTTTTAACAATAAACCCTTGACACCACACCCTTAAAGCTCTTTCAGCTTCCAGTCATTAATCCTTTTTAAAATAGCCTTTCCATTTTAAGGCCCCACAGGGTTTCCAAGGCTGTAAATCTTTCCAGAAGCACCCACCGCCTCTTTCTCCCATGCAGTGGCTGGTGGGTTAGAACTGCTGAACATCTGGTTAGCTAGTGAGTACTTTCACCATTGTGCCACCTCAGCTTCTGTATCTTCACACTCCTTTCTTCAATATGGACTATCATCTTCTGATTGCTTACCCATAAGACGAGCACCTCGGGCAGTTCAAGTTCAAATCCACCGGCAGCTCCTCACAAGAAAGCTGAGCGGTCTCCTTCCCTCACCACTTCCTGCTGCTGTGGTTGTTGTTAGGTGTTGCAGACCACGGCGGAGAGGACCTTGTGCTCTGACATTCAGACTTGTGCCACGCTGAAGTGAAGATGGCGGATCACTTACACGTGATAAGGAGAAACTCAGCTAACTGAGGAGCAGCTGAAGTGACCAGGTAATTCGCTCTACACACAATGTTTCAGGATGCGGTGGAGTGAAAAATAGGTCCCTGGGACCACAGCGCTTACTCACAGTCATAGGGGAGCGACAAACACATTCTGCAGAACTTCATTGTTGTTGTTAAGTGCTGTCGTGTTGTAGGCAACTCATAGTGACCCTCTCAATGAACAAAAGACCTGAGCACTGTCATAGGGGAGCGACAAACACATTCTGCAGAACTACATTGTTGTTGTTAAGTGCTGTCGTGTTGTAGGCAACTCATAGTGACCCTCTCAATGAACAAAAGACCTGAGCACTGTGCATAGAGTTTCCGGAGGCAAGCCATTTTGGAAGTGGAAGCCACTCCTGCTTCCAAGCTTGTTGTAATCGGGGAGCGTCACCAAACACTGTCCACCATGGGTAACCATTGTCACATTTGACACATCAGTGTCACAGCATTTAGCATCACTGCAACCACAAGTTACCTCTGTACAGCAAATGCACAGACAAGTGCTATACCACCTAGAATGTTTGACAAAAACCAATTTGAACCAGGCCTGAGTGCTGCAGATTAAAATCACCCACCTTGGGCTTGGTAGCATAACTTTCTGTTCACTAGGCCAATGTAGTTCTCTCTATGTTGTCATTGTTATTGTTGTTAGGTGCTGTCAAGTCGAAGTAAAAACCAAAGCTGTTTGTCTTCACTTGCTCTTTGAGAAAGCTAGGAAATAAGAAAGGCTAAAGGCAATAAGAGCTCGTCTTCTTGTGGAGTAAAGTCCCCTGACTGCCTTCTTCCAGATTCCATCGTGTCTGCATTTCCTTTCAGTACAGTTTGGGGCTCCTTGGCCAAAGTACCCTGGTACTGCGAGCGGTATCTCACGGTTAGGTGCCACTGAGTCAAATGTGACTCTTGGCAACCCTGTGAACGACAGATCTGAAAACTTGCCTGTCCTGTTATCTTTGCAATCCCTGACAGCCGGCTTTGCAGCTTTCACTGTGTCAATGCACCTGATGGAGGCTCTTCCTCTCCTTCGCTGACCCTCCCGGTTTCCAAGCATGATGTCCCTCTCTAACGAGTAGCCTTTCCCGACAACACGCCCAAACTATGTGAGATGTGGCTTTATCATCTTTGCCTCCAAGAGCAAAGTCTCCAGAGGCTGCACCTCCTCTAAGACATATCTGTTTGTTCTTTTAGCAGTCCATAGGGTATTCAATTCTCTTTTCCAACAGTTCAGTGGTATCAATTCTTCCTCTATCATCTGTAGTCATTATTCAGCTTTCCCTTAAAATGTACAGCTTACAATATTCAAGGCAGGTTTGCTATGAGTTACTATGAACCAACTCAAGCACAGTAAGTGTGACTTTGCATTAGTTTTACTTCAAAAAGCTGCTATTTTACTGAGCTAAGACCTTCTGCAAACGAGGAGTACAGAAGAAACACAGAGAAAGCGAACGTTGTAGCTTTGCTGTCAAACCACTGAATCCTACCCAGAGAGGCTGATGTTTCACAATTAGCCACTAGGTGGCAGTACTTTCAGCTAAGTCTTTAGTCAAAGACTAAATGGGCCTACGAATTGCTAGGTGCAATTGAAGTATTTGCTGCCGAAGGTCAAGGACTGCAATCTTCAATATTAAGTTAAGCTCAATATCAAGAAACAAAGATTAGCACCACTGGGCCAATTGGCAGTAACAGGATAAATGGAGAACAGATTGAGATTGTTAACAATTTCACTTTGCTCAGATCCAGAAGCAACACTCTTGGCACCAGCAGTCAGGAAATCAAAAGACTTAATGGCACTAGGAAAGTCTGCTTGTCTTTTCAGAATGCCGAACAACAACGATGTTAATGCAGTCGAAGGTGCACCGGATTCGGGCCATGGTCTCCACAATTACTTGCTGTTCATCAGAGAGCTGGACAATGACTAAGGACGACAGAAGAAGAATCGATGTCTTTGAATTGTGGTGCTGGAGAAGAGTATTGAACATATTGTGGCATGTGAAGGGAACAAACAGGTCTGTCCTGGAGGAGGTGAATCCGTTTCTCCTATGAGGCTAGGATTTTGAAGCTCCATCTCACATCTTTTGGGCTTGTTGCTAGGAGGGACCAGTCCTTGGAAGGGTAGAGGGACAATGCAGGAGAGGAAGACCCTGGATGAGATAGATTGACGCAGTAACTGAGGTTGTAGGGGTACGTGTGTCCGAGACAGTGAGACTGGCTCAGGATAGGGTGGGGTTCAGAGCTACTGTGCATAAGGTTGCTGTGAGTCACAAGTCACTCAATGGCACATAACAAAAACATCAAAGCGATTATGACTCTTAGTGACCCTATTCAGAATAGATCTGAACCTTACACTGTCCTGGACCATCCTCACAATCTCTGTCCTGCTCAAACCTGTTGAGGCTGTCACTGTGCCAACCCATTTCATTGAGGTTGTCACTGTGCTAATCCATTTCATTGAGGCTCTTCCTTTCCTTCGTTGACATTTCCCAGCATGGTGTCTCTCTCCAGGGACTGGTTCCTCCTAAAAATATGTCTCAAATAAGTGAGATGAAGTTTCACCATCTTTGCCTTTAAGGGACACTGTTGGCACTTCCTTCAAAGGAGATCATATTGATTTTTTAAAAAAATCTCTTCATCCTAACAAGATGACTTAATGGAAAGAAATCTACTCAAGACAAATAGATATATGCGACCTGCTAATGGACTAGACTATCAAGAGGTCTGATGGTGTAGGTCTCTGATGGCGTGGGTCGTAAGAGAACTGTGCTCCAGCCTGAAGGCCATGCTCCTTGACAGTTTGAATCCACCAGAGACTCAGGGTTTCAGGAAGATGGGTAATCTCCTCCAGCGTGATTTATAGCCTCAGAAACCCAACGCAAGATCAGGTATGAGTTGGTTCTGACTTGACAGCAATGAGGTTTTTTTAATAACAGTTGCCCATAGGATCCAGTGAAAAGAAAATCTTCAACTCTAACAAACTCATGTAAAATTTAAACCATGAGAAAATACTTTGGATAGGAAAGAAAGACATAGATCAAACAATGTAACCAAAAAAAGTACACATACATTTTTATTTTGAATTAAGAAGGTTTATGTAAATTTGTCTTTATGAACAAAACAAACTATAATGTATATTGGTAAGTCCCATAAAGTTTTATTAATCCAAACCACTTTCCACTGAAATTCAGCTATTGTATACATTATACTTTTAATCATAATTATGCTGCAATTTGTTTATTCTCTACACTTACCATTAAATAAACTATTATGGGGGTTCATGACACTATTATTATTTATGAATAAATTATTACAATTAGTAATCAGTATTTAATTTTTCAAATTTCTTTCTTAAAAACAAGTGTAATCACAGACCATCTTAATTACCGTTCCTATTTTTTTTAAATGCACTTGTTTCAGGAATAGATTTTGCATCAACATCTTCTATAACACTTTTAAAAAGCAGAGAGTGATTTTTGATAGAAATGGTCCACAGTCATGAAGTCTCACAATGATAAGGCACTTGACGACATAGGACTCCCTGTCTTGTCAGCTTAGAGGTTAGACACAGGTTTCACTTTCTCCTTCAACTTTTTTAGACCGGTCATGTCCCCTGCTCCTTCAGGCCAGTTGTCATGATCTGTCAAGTAAGCGGGAAAATCTATGTCACTTGTTGTTATCAACTAATTGGTAACATCCCTTCTTGTCAAAGTGACTCAGTCAGGAACAGACTCACAAGCATACGATTGCATACGTGGCCACCTATGTGTTTATACACCAACACTCATACAGAAGAACTCTTCGAGGTTCACGTCCACCAGTGACCATACACATGCAAACACTGTTACTACACAGAATGGCTAAGTTAGGTAAAAGATATTTAGAACACTTGAGGAGCCCTGGTGTTGCAATAGGTTAAGAACTGGGCTATTAGCAACTACAGCTATTTTATGAAACTCCAGGGCTACTTATAGATGTCATCTTAAATTTAATAGATGTTTGTTGATAATGTTGGGATCAAGATGCTATTTATTATACTATATTTGTATGCCCGTGTGTCTTTGTGGAGATAAAGGCTATGACTGAAAAATAGATGCAGTTACACTCTTAAAAAGAAGAATGAATCAAAACAACTATAGATATCATCTCACTCCAGTCAGAATTGCAAAATTTAACAGAACAGCAAGCAACAAATGCTAGCGAGGTTGTGGAGAAACTGGAACCCTTATTCACTGATGGTGGAAGTGTAAAATGGTGCAATCACTGTGAAAGGCGGTGTGGCGCTTTCTTAAAAAGTTGCAAATAGAGATACCATTTGACCCAGCAATTCCACTACTGGAAATAGACCCCAAAG